CCTTAAAGTGTGTGTAGAGGAAACTGTTGTATTACAACCTTCACCAGCCTTTTACAAGTGTTTGTTATTAGCCGTTGCTAACTAACTAACATTCAGAGCGGCTCGTTGTCTTTAGTTAAATGAAGGATGATGCCCCCCCCCCCCCNNCGCCTGTAAAGGGACGTTTAACAGCGAGAACAGATAATCTACTGAGGAACAACAAACACACACAGAACATAATGACTGACCTCTGCTGCTCTGCTCAATCATAATTATTATTATTATTATTACGTCACAATAAACTGTATGAAACATAAGTAAATAAAAGGTGATGAGTTCAATGTCCTCTTCTACCTGAGCTCCCTGTAGTGACAGTCACCTTACTGAAGCCCCGCCCTCCAGGTGTTTATTATTACAAGCTTCATCGTCCCAGCAGGGACACACCGGGGTGGAAAACAAGCTCCCCTTCACTACCTCTCTGTGGACGCCATAAACAAATATCTGAATCCCAGAGACAGCGCGAGTAGTACTCAGTGTGTAGTACTCAGTGTGTAGTACTCAGTGTCCAGGCCTGAACTCGAAGCCCAGGCTGAAGGGAGTGAACAGCTGGAACTTCTCGGAGAACTTGAGTGGTCCGTTGGGGCTCTGCGGCCGGTTGCACTCCCAACGTTTGAAGCCCTTCCTGTGGTGGTCGCAGGTCGTGTAGCCGTCGTAGGTCACCATGTACAACACGTAGTGCTCCATCTGCTCGTCGGACTCCGCCATCTCGTAGTGTGGACAGTAGATGTCCAGGTAGTCGTTGATCGCCACCTCCACCATGTACTCGCCCCGAAAGAAGCTGAGGAGAAGAAATTATGTAATTTCCTGTTTCTTACAGCAGATAGTTGTCGAACAACCCTAGCAACCACATAGCAACCACCAGGAAACAGACAGCATCAATCTACAATTAGCAGGTATCATAGTAGAGCAGCTAATGTGTAAGCAACCGGCTGGTTCCTGGTTTCCATTATTCTCCCTCTGACTCCCACACATGGAAACCATTGATCACTGCCTCTGTGTGTGTGTGTGTGTGTTTCCCTACAACCCCCCGAGGCTTCAATTAATCAAAGCTAACTGTTTATCGGAGCGTCGTCGTGTTTACAGAAAGGAGATCTCACTCACTTCCTGTTTGCTCCCAGCGTTTACAGATGCTGTTCAATAAAGTTTTTCAAGGTCTGAACTGGAGTTCTGAGTGTGTAGATGAGAAAACACAACTGATGCAACCTTACATAGAAATACAATCAGTTTGACCACCAGGGGGTGTACTATAGGGACATCAGGGAGAGACAATCGGCCTCAAATTCACTTCATTGACTCTTTTCAGCCTGATGAGCGTCACCTGTTCAGGTGTGTGTGTTTAACAGTGCATCATTAGTGTCATTAACAATCCTATAATTAACAGATAAAACTGCAGAGGTTCAAACTGTGACAGAAATACGGAATGATTTAACAAGTCAGACACTAAAAAAAGGTCTTTATAAAGCAGAACTGCGCCTGAATAATATGAGATGAGGTCATGTGACCAACACTGGATGATATCACAGCCTACAGGTGAGTCACACCTGTCCAACTCCTAAAATACGGCTGCTGGGTCTGTACCTCTGTCCGTCTGTCCGTCTGTATGTCTGTGCTCCCGTACGTCTGTACGAGTGTGCATGGGCAAGGCTCTGCAGTTAAATTAGCAACAGTTAATAATAATATTATTATAATATTAATAACTTCTGGAGTTTACACAGTTGCACTTTGATTAAGTTTGGGCACTTGGTTTTTAAGATTGTGGTTTGGGTTTTGGGAATATAAACTTAATATACTTCCATAACTTGTGTAACATAACTTACAAAAGTTATATTACATAAGTTATGTAACATAAATAACTTGCATAACGTAACTTAAAAATAAATAAAAAAATAAAAAAATAAGTTTGCAATGTTTGTAAAATAATGTTACAAACGTCATATAAGTAACTTAAGTCAACATGAACTCATGAGTTAATTAGTCAGGAACTGTTAACGTTATCCATCATCCATCGTATCGATCAGCCAGGATTAGTTACTGAAGTTGGAAGTTATTTATTCCGTGTGTTGACCAACCAGGACGTTGGGTTGCTGGATGCTCTACAACTGTGTTAGGAATAAATGAACTAAAAGGTTCAGACTCCTTGGCTGTGGTGTGTTTCTGATTCACACATCATCACTGGCTGTTTCTGATCAAATACAGTAATATCAGAAACAGATAATATCACATTATATCAAATATCAAAATGGATTAGTCGACAAGGAAAATCTTTAGTCCTAATAAAATGAGTTTTATCCAGTCCTCCATCTTTTTCTGTCTCCAACTGTTTAAGACAGAAACATGTGAAACACGTCGAGTGAGAATCAGTAAAGTGTTTTTATTTCTTGGTCCTCGCAGCTGCTCTGTCACATTGTTGCTGTAATTTACATAATTTAATTCAGCACAAACACACTGAGTCTCACCTCCTGATTGGAAATGATCATTATTCAACGATCGATCAACAAACTAATCAAACTTCATGTGTCTGTGAATATTTAACAACGGGGCAGTCCATCCAATCAACAGAGCTAATTTGGGTTTTGGTAATGAGGTTTGAACTGACTGATTTGGTTTCTCACAGTCGGTCCTGATTGGCTGAGCAGTCCTGGTTAATCACAACTCGTCGAGTGTTGTGATGAGATGATTCACGTTTACTGGTCTTAAATTAAGATTCTGCTGTGTCCGTTTACATTTACACTTTCCTGTCTTTATTTTCAGTGAAGCTTCCTGAAAGTACAGAGCAGTTATTTTTGGCACAAATGGCTCTCCGTATAATCGAGTTATCTTAACGACTTTAAACACTTTAAGTTTCCCTCCACAGTCTGTTGCTTTGAGTTGCTGAAGCACAGCGATGATTATTCCCGTCTGACCTGAACGCAGCATCGGAGCGTTGTCCTGATGGAGGTCGATGGGATCAGCTGAATGAAAACCATCCTGATGGTGTTTCTCCTCCGCCGCGCCCTCTTTGTCTACGCTAACACCATTAGCAAAGTGCAGGCTAACTCAGTTAGCTGAAGGATTGGGTGACGCTAACAGCTGAGAGAGCAGGCGCTGCGTTCATGGTGAACTCTGTCCCCTCAGCTCTCACATCATTACTCATCACTGTAATGGAGAGCTTTGTCCATCCCAGCAGGCCGAGGGACCGCCGGGTTCATCATCATCATCATCCTCATTTAGCCCGAGAGCCTCCAAACAGTGAGTCAGTGTTACTTCCTTTAGCAGGGCGCTGTCTGAGACCGAGGACTTCCCGGTGGCTGGTTCCAGGGTTGAGCTGTAAAGTGTGAACAGGGGTGGGCCCCAAATGTGTGGTTTCCTGGGGTGCACCAGCCCTGCTCATCACACCCAATACAAGTAAACCCTTATGTCAGTGTCTGGACAAGCATTATGAAAGGATCCCTACAGAAGATAAACTTTAGTTTAAACCACAAACAGCCGTAATATTCACTATCACTCTCCACCAGACTCCAGAGACACAAACACTCAACCAAAACCAGAGTTGGTGATTGTTGGAAAGACGAGTTTTATTTGTTTTTTGTCCCATTGTTTCAGAGACTTATCCAGTGTAATGTATAACCTTTAATTACGTTACGCCATTATATTTAACTACTTACGTCCCGACTCTGTTGCCGACTACCTCTGATTATCTTTAATGTGATATTTCTGCCCCTGAACCCAGCTGGGGACAGACGTTCACCTTCCACCATCTTTCCTTTGGTCCAGAATTTAGTTTTAAACTTTGAATTGAATATCGACTTTAAACAGATAATTGGATCAGGAAGCAACAATTAATTCTGACAACAAACAATAATCCTTTTTCTCTTAATACATTTAATAAAAATGAAAACTAACATCCCTGTTTGTAAAGCTGCTGCACCACCTGAACCCCGTCCTCAGTCCGGGTCCACAGTGGGCAGATATGAACTGTAATCTGTCAGCAGGTCCCTTTTCTGCTCAGGAAGACTGACAAATGACCTCGACCCGCCCCGTCCACGTCGGACCTGCATCTAATCCACCTGACCTTCAGAGACCTGCACAGATTAAACAGTAAATCACACCGCGGCATGCTGGGAGCTGGTGCAGACGGTGAAATATGTTTCCTTTGTGGAGAGATTCACAGATTCGCTGCAGCTAAACTGAAAAACATGTGAGCAAAGCGAACGTGAGAACGTGGCCGTTGGACACGTTGAGCTTCTTTCAGCGGACGTCCAATCAACTTCTGCTGAGTCATCAATTAAAGCGCCGACAGGAGGACGTGAGAGAGTCTCCTCTGATACTGTATACTACAACTGCATATTGTACTTTATACTGCTGTTTATTACAGCTTAAGTATATATCACACACATTAATGCATCCCATAATAACATAGTAATAAAACACTCACAGGAGTCCTGCTAGATGAGCATTATTACTTTTACTGTTACTTATTTAGCTGATAGTAATTCTTCACTTTTACTTGTTTTTAAAGGTTGAATTCTTTTTCATGTTCGTCATCGATCATTACTGTTAATGTAGTTGTTGCTTCTGTTGTTGCTGTACATCTGTTTGTCTCTCTGTCTCTCTGTCTCTCTCTCTCTCTCTCTCTCTCTCTCTCTCT